AAAATCATGGAGGTGAGACCATTCTCTTAGTTATTTCTTACCAGACAAGATAAAGCACTGCTGATTACTTAAAGCAACATATTGGATGGATCTAAAATTACCAGAGATTAAAACATGGAAAGCTCTCTCTTTTTCTGGATAAGTCCCCAGCATCTCTAGAGTTCATGGAGCATTGTTCTTCAATCCCTCATGAAGCACTGTAACCCAGCCCCTGGCTCATTCACATTGCACTATGAAGGCTGCCAAGTTTCCTTTCAAGACCAGACAGGTAGTTTCCATCCTCCAAAGTTAGAACTTCCATCCCACAAACGTCTTGTCTTCTAAATCAGAAAGCAGGTAATTCAATGTAATCAGACCTATTCTGAAAGTCTGTAGCAGCAGAAGCAAGTGAAAATGCTGCATTTCTGGGGACCTGTGCTTTCTGAGTTCCAAGGGCAAAAGAAGATAAAAGACTCTTTCTAAAGACCAAGTAGGAGATCTAACTGTACTAGTTTCCTAGAGTTGTCCAGGTTTTAAGCACACAATGTCTCTCATCCTGGGAAACCCCTTAACCTTGTGCAAATTGGGATACTGTCTCATCTAAAATAAATGCTTAAATTGTTACTGGAAACAGGTTCAGTGGAAAGACTACTTGTTTGATTTTTAGGCTTATGCATCTTTAATATAAGCAGAATAAGAAAAAAAACCCCACAGTGATCAAGTGCTATTATAAGAAGCTGTCCATACCTTGTCAAGTCCTGGACTTTGCCTGAGTGATTACAGTGGGTCAGTTGGGAGCACTTATTTTAACTGCAAATTTGACATCTAGAAGGAAATAATTGGTCTTTATAAGGCTCTTTTTGAAAATCTAAACCTTAAACTAGATACTAGACATCCTCCAGCTCAGGTGAGGAGAACATTTCCAAAGGAAATTCCCCTTTTTCAACTGTGGAAGGTGAAGGAGGAAGAAGTGTGAGCTGACTTTTTAGAGAGCGTAACTGACGACATGATGCTGGGATGGAAGCCAGATTTCTGGGCCCAAAAAGGGAGTCCGGGTAACACATCTTTCAGGGAAGAAACTAAGACCCTAGAACTATCGTTAGGGGGTTAGTGAGGTCAAGAGAGACATGTGTCAAAAACAGAGGGAACCCAGGGTGTAGAAGATGGAGCTCAAAGGTGACAAGCAGATAGCTGGTCGACAGTCTTAGCCAGGTATCCTGTAGCATCGAGCCTGGTACTGATGCTGTGTAGATGTGGGGCCTCTATCTGGGGGTGCCCACCCTTCCCCTAGCCTCCCCTCTTAAGGCCTATCTCAAGGTACCACCTCTTCACAAATATTTCTTTTCTCCTTAATGTGTGTTTCTATGGGGTCTGGGTTCTGGAACAAAGCCAGTGTCCATGGATGCCACTGCCATCACAGGGCAGCCGCTCACATGATAACGGCATCAGTGTAAATGAAACAGGATGCATGTAATTTAAAAGGCCTATACTGGAAAGCTTTTGAAAAGCTGATAGATGAGGTCTATGATATGACATACACATTCAAGGCAAATACACTTCTAATAATAGAAATACCCTTTTCCAAACTGAGGTGGTTTTTAAAAATATCTATACTATTTTCAGGATGAGGGCAAAAGTACCAACGGAGGCCCAGGTTACACAAGCCCAAACATGTGACAACATGCCAACAACCATGGCATGCTCAAGCATCGTCTTCTCATCCTACTCATGCAGTGAGAGGAGCTGTGTGTGCCCACAGCTACAGTGAAGACCCCAGGCCCAGGGGTGTGCTCACGAACAACTGCTTTTGAACAACTATGAAGAACTTTTTGCTCTTTATGTTAATTGGCTTTGTTACTGTATCAGAAACTTGCTATAACCAACGTATAAAGAGAGATGATTTGTTTCAGCTCAGAGATAGACTGGCCCCACTGCTTAGCAGCACATCACAGTAGACAGTGCACACAGCCAGAGGGAGCTGCACACCTCAGGGCAGCTGGGAACCAAAAGAGAGAAAGAGGAAGAGGTTTCTCACATTTCCCTTCACCCATCCACCACCATTACCTAAAATTTCCCAACGGGCTCTATCTCTTCAAGGTCCTGTTACCTCCCAGTGGTGCCATGCCTGGGCCACTGGTTCACAGTCTGGATGCAAACTCCCCATCCAGGGCTTGAGGCTCTCTTCACACCAGGTGTGCTTTTAAGGTAGAGGAGCAATAAGTTGGCCCATCATGATGAAACAACTACACGGATACAGCATCACTAGATGAGGGCCATGATGAGTGTTCAAGGAATAAGTCCTTCTTGCCTGGATTAAAGAAGTATACTGAACATAATTTCTGCTTACTTCTCCTCCTCCTCCTCCTCCCCCTCCTTCTCCTCCTGCTCCTCCTCCTCCTCCTCTTCTCCTCTTTTGAGGCAGGGTTTCACTATGCAGTTCAGGTTGGCTTTAAAGTCTCTCCGTAGTGCAAGCTGGTCTCAAACTCACAATCCTCCTGCCTCAGCCTCTGGAATGCTGGGATTACAGGCATGCACCACCATGACCAGCTATGTGAACACAACTTCTTTTCTTGGAGTTCTCTGATTTGATTCTCTTTCTTTTTCTTTTTCTTTTTTTTTTTTTTCTTTTCCAAATGTGACTTTCAAAGAATTCTTGGTCGAGCTTCAGACCAGGAGGCTTCCTACAGCAACACTAACTGCATCAACATTTTGCAGGCCAAAGGGAACTGAAAGAATCATTTCTGTTGAACAAACTCAGTCCTACCAAGTCTGGCCCCAGCCCTGTGGTGTTCTCTATCCTACCCAGTCCTCTTTATCAGATGAAGCAAATGACTGATTGCCTACTGACACAGCCAGAGTACAGGTTAAAAAAAAAACAATTGAAATGGAAGCATATCAATTTTCTGATGGCTTCTAGCGGGGAGCACATGTTATTTAGATATAATCTAAACTACTTGAGGACCTGAGTTTACTCATTTATGATGGAGTAAGAAGCTGCTAATTTCTTCTGTCCTATCTCCTCTGTGGTTCAGGTTCGTGTTAAAAGCAGCAGAAGAACAGAGGATTTGGGGTTTGGCTTAAGATCATCAAGAGAGTGATGCATTAAAGGGCATCACCCCATTTGGAGAGTTAGCAAACTGGCTCTATCATTTACCTTGCTACCAGATTAGGAAGTCACTTAACATCTTTAGATACTTTTCTACCTCTGTAGAGTAAAAAATCAGCCTCCATGACAGAATTTTTCTTGTATACTTCTTACTATCTGGAAGACTGGGGTACCCAAGTAATACTATCTCCCAGGAAAACCTTCGAAGTGGGTGTAGATTAACCCTGAGGTTAAATTAGCCGCATTCTAACCGGGTATATAACTCAGCAGCACAAGCGCTTGCCTGGCAATCACAAGGCCCTGAATTCGATTCCCAGTACAAAAAAAAAAAAAAAAAAAAAAAAAAAAAAAAATCCATGTTTTACCTGAGTTGTCAGAGATCTAGGACATAGTTAGCCGCCCTGGTTAGCATCTTCCAGTTATAGGATGCAAATCACATCTGGGTAACAAAATCACCGAGGCAGATTTGTCTCTCTTTTTCTGAAGAGACACCCTAAGGCTGGGAGCTCAGTGGTATGGTGTGAGTGCCCTGGATTCATTCCCCAATACTGAAATAAATAAAAGCAATTTAGCCAGGTGTGGTGGTGCACCCTGTAATCCTAGCAGTTCGGGAGGCTGAAGCAAGAGGACTACAAGTCTAAGCCCAGCCTGGGAAACTGCAACTTAGTGAGATCCTGTCTCTGAAACATACAGAAAGGACTGGGGTGGTAGCTCACTTGGAAGACTCTGGGTTCAGTCTCTAATCACACACACCACAGATACACACACTCAAGGACTAACAGTAAAGTGAATGTGAATTGGGTTCGGACCTGTGACTTCTGCCCGAAAGTCATCATTTTCTGGAAACCATAACATAACAGGCACTGAACTACTACGGGTACGGCATTTGTTTCAAGTGTTTACATTGAAGATATTAGGGACACCTTGGCCAAAACACCTTCTAGGGTTCCTATCCCAAAGACCTGCATTAGGCCAGGGAGTTCCTCGCTCAAAGCCGTCCCCAGGGGAGCGGAAAACCTGCACTTTTAATTGGTCTGGCACAAAATAGGGCACCTAGAAATATTTACCAAATGAATGAATGGTTGCCCACTCTCCTCCTTTCTTTTGTTTAACTACCACCTCGCTCTCAGCTTCTGCAGGGAGACCAGGCCCCGAGTCCTGCCAGTTCCGCCGCGGTTTGGATGGAGGGTGGATGGAAGGGGCGCCGGTAAAGGATGAGTAAGGGAAGCCAGCGGATCTCGCGCTCTGGAGAAGAAAAAGGAATCCTTAGAGACGCAGGGCCCACAGAGGTCGGGCGCGCGCCAGCCCCGGGAGGGCCCGCAGCACCACCGCGGCGAGGTCGGCCTCCCGGCCCAGCGGGGTCGCCTCCCGGGCCGGCGCCGGCCAGCGCCCCCAGTCCCGCAGCCGGCTCTCGGCCGCGGCTCCCGCCCCGGGGCGGTGCCGGGAACACGCGGCGCCTCCGCCGGTCACGTGGGGGCGCTCGGCCGGGCGGCGCGGCGCGGCGCTTCCCGATCGCGCCCTCCCAGCGCCGGGGACGCGGCGCTCGCGCTCCCGCCGGAGCCGGGAAGCGGAGACGCGGAGGGCCGCCGACCCCTCCCCACGGCCGCGCCCGGCCCGCGCCCGCAGCATGCCCGCCGCGGAGCTCGCGGAGGCCACGCCGCTGGCGCGCTTGAGGCCGCGGCGGCGAGGGTAGCGGGGCCGCAGTCGGGCATCGAGGCGGGCGGAGCAGGGGGAGGAGCAGGCATCCTCCGCGGCGCGGCGCGGCCCGGCGCACCCATGGCCCGGGAGCCCGGAGAACGCAAGCTGCTCCCCGCGCCGGCCGCCGCCTCCCCTCGCGCCGCGCGCCTAGCGCCCCACCGAGCCGCTCGCGTGGCCGCCGCCGCCCAGCTCCGCGCACCCGGCCGCTGGCTGCGCTAGGACCCTCGGCCGCCCGGGCGGAGTGGCCGGCGAGGAGCGGGAGCCGCAGGGCGGGAGCCCGGCGCTGGCGGGGGTGCGGCGCGGCATGCGGCTGCGGGAGCCCGCTTGAGGGTGTCGGCCCGGGGCCCCGCCATGGCTGGCAAGGACGGCGGCAACCTGAAGACGGTGAGGCTGTGGCGGGACGCCGCCCTGCGCGCCAGGAAGCTGCGGAGCAGCCTGCGCCAGCTGACCCTCAGCGCAGCCGGGAGCTGCCCCGAGGACGGAGCCGACCCCCTGGAGTCCCCCGACGCTCCCCAGCTGGTGCTGCCGGCCAACATCGGAGACATTGAGGTGCTGAACCTGGGGAACAACGGCCTGGAGGAGGTGCCGGACGGGTTAGGGTCTGCTCTGGGGAGCCTGCGCGTCTTGATCCTGCGCAGGAACCGCTTCGCCCGCCTGCCCCCTGCGGTGGCCGAGCTCGGCCACCACCTCACCGAGCTGGACCTGAGTCACAACCGACTGACCGCCCTGGGCGCAGAGGTTGTGAATGCGCTAAGGGAGCTGCGCAAGCTCAACCTCAGCCACAACCAGCTGCCCTGCCTGCCCGCTCAGCTGGGCTCCCTCGCCCACCTGGAGGAGCTGGATGTCAGCTTCAACCGCCTGCCGCACCTGCCCGAGTCCCTTTCCTGCCTCCACCGCCTGCGCACCCTCGACGTGGACCACAACCAGCTCACTGCCTTTCCCAGGCAGCTGCTGCAGCTGCCGGCTCTGGAGGAGCTAGACGTGTCCAGCAACCGGCTGCGAGGCCTACCTGAGGATATCAGTGCCCTGCGTGCCCTCAAGATTCTCTGGCTCAGTGGGGCTGAGCTGGGCACTCTGCCCAATGGCTTCTGCGAGCTGGCCAGTTTGGAGAGCCTCATGCTAGACAATAACGGGCTGCAGGCTCTGCCTGAACAGTTCAGCCACCTTCAGCGACTCAAAATGCTCAACCTATCCTCCAATCTCTTTGAGGAGTTCCCTGCTGCGCTGCTGCCCCTGGCTGGTCTGGAGGAGCTCTACCTTAGTCGCAACCAGCTCACCTCAGTGCCATCCCTTATCTCGGGGCTGGGCCGGCTTCTTACCCTGTGGCTGGATAATAACCGCATCCGATACCTGCCTGACTCCATTGTGGAGCTGACTGGGCTGGAGGAGTTGGTGCTGCAGGGGAACCAGATCGCTGTGTTGCCTGACAACTTTGGCCAGCTCTCCCGGGTGGGCCTGTGGAAGATCAAGGACAACCCACTGATCCAGCCCCCTTATGAGGTCTGCATGAAGGGGATCCCCTATATTGCAGCCTACCAGAAGGAGCTGGCTCATTCACAGCCTGCGGTGCAGCCACGCCTCAAGCTGCTCCTCATGGGTCACAAGGCTTCAGGAAAGACCTTGCTCAGGCACTGTCTCACCGAGGACAGAGTAGGGGGAAGCCAAGCAGGAGGTGACAAGGAGAAGAGTTACCCACCTTCTCCTCTGCCTGGGAGCAAGGGCATCGAGGTGACTAGCTGGACGGCTGATGCTTCCAGGGGCCTGCGGTTCATCGTGTATGACTTAGCTGGTGATGAAAGTTACGAAGTGATCCAGCCTTTCTTCCTCTCCCCAGGTGCCCTGTATGTGTTGGTGGTCAACTTGGCCACCTATGAACCACGCTGCTTTCCTACCACTGTGGGCTCCTTCTTGCATCGAGTGGGGGCGCGGGTGCCTCATGCCGTGGTGTGCATTGTGGGCACACATGCTGACCTGTGTGCCGAGCGGGAGTTGGAGGAGAAGTGTCTGGACATTCACCGCCAGATTGCCCTGCAGGAGAAGCACGATGCAGAGGGCCTGAGCCGTCTGGCCCAGGTGGTGGATGAGGCCCTGGCTCGTGATTTTGAGCTGCGCTCTGCCAGCCCTCATGCAGCCTACTATGGTGTTTCGGACAAGAATCTTCGGCGGCGCAAAGCTCATTTTCAATACCTGCTTAACCACCGGTTGCAGATCCTCTCGCCCGTGTTGCCTGTTAGCTGCTGGGATCCCCGATTGCTGCAGCGTCTTCGGGACAAGCTGCTCTCGGTAGCTGAACACCGAGAGATCTTCCCCAATTTACATAGAGTCCTGCCTCGGTCCTGGCAGGTGCTGGAGGAACTGCATTTCCAGCCACCTCAGGCACAGCGACTTTGGCTAAGCTGGTGGGACTCAGCACGCCTGGGCCTGCAGGCAGGTCTGACCGAGGACCGGCTGCAGAGTGCCCTCTCCTATTTGCATGAGAGCGGCAAGCTGCTCTATTTTGAGGACAGCCCGGCCCTCAAGGAGCACGTCTTCCACAACCTCACCCGCCTCATTGACATCCTCAATGTCTTTTTCCAGAGAGATGCTTCCTTGCTGCTGCACAAACTGCTACTGGGGACCAGTGGAGAGGGTGAGGCCGAGGGGGACAGCTTCCCTGCCATGGCACTGCCCGCTCCGAACCAGGATGTGCTCCGGGCCACCCAGCTCCATCATTACGTGGAGGGCTTTCTGCTGCATGGGCTCCTGCCAGCCCACGTCATTCGGTTGCTGCTTAAGCCTCATGTCCAGGCCCAGCAGGACTTGCAGCTGCTGCTGGAGCTGCTAGAGAAGATGGGACTCTGTTACTGCCTCAATAAACCCAAGGGCAAGCCTTTGAATGGCTCAACAGCTTGGTACAAATTCCCATGCTATGTGCAGAATGAGGTGCCCCATGCAGAGGCCTGGATTAATGGGACCAACCTAGCTGGCCAATCTTTTGTGGCTGAGCAGTTGCAGATCGAATATAGTTTCCCCTTTACCTTTCCACCTGGGTTGTTTGCGCGCTACAGTGTCCAGATCAACAGCCATGTGGTGCACAGGTCGGATGGAAAATTTCAGATCTTTGCATATAGAGGGAAGGTTCCTGTGGTGGTGAGTTACAGACCCGCCAAGGGGGTCCTGCAGCCAGATACCCTGTCTATTGCTAGCCATGCATCATTACCAAATATATGGACCGCATGGCAAGCCATCACCCCCTTGGTAGAGGAACTGAATGTCCTGCTTCAGGAATGGCCTGGCCTGCACTACACTGTGCACATCCTCTGTTCTAAGTGCCTTAAGAGAGGATCGCCCAATCCACATGCTTTCCCAGGTAAGGAGAGAGGGGGCCTCTGGGTTTCTTCTGTGGTGTGTTTCAAGTTGCAATTTTGGAGACATTTGTTTCATTTGGCAGAATGTTTACTTTACCTCACTGGTTTTCTAGGAAAGCTTTTCAAGGTAAATAGAGGTGTGGGGGCAAACAAAAGACAACTGTTGTCTCCTCCTAATGAATGGGAAGTTTGGGACTTCCAAAGTTAAAAGGTAGCCTAGCTCCTTTTCCTACTTCTCAACTTGAACATATTTGGTGGAAGAAAATTTTAGCTGGCTGAGCAGAAAACCTGGGACCTGTTTTGACATTAGTCACTTTCTGGGCCTTGGCTGTGTGCGAGGGAGAAGTCTGAGTTGTAAGTGGCTAGTGTCATCTTCTGTTGTTTAAATTCAGACTGTAACCATCAAATCAATGTTATGGCTCATTTTTCCTAAGAAATTCCAGAGAAGAATGTTCTGTAATTGAGTGAGTGGCAGATGAGTAAATACAAACTGTAATGCATGACTGAATCCTGAGATTGCAGTTTGACCTAGCTCACTAAGGCATGGAAGACAGACCTGAACTCTCCGGGGGAGTTTCCTTGGGTATTTCCTGGCAAGTCTGAGCTGTATAGACATCTTAAGGTTTCTTGGTAAATGTTCAGAGTTGGAGCTTTCTGGCAGTGGTTTATAAGAGATGGAAGGGACAAAAAGCTGACAAGAATCCTCTGGGGAGTGTTTTTCAACAGACTTATGTCTTGTTTTCTTTTTTAAAAAATCATTATATACAAGTGGGAGAATTCCAGGACTAGTTGTCTGGGATTTTTTTTTTTAAGACTTTTTTAAAGAGTAATTTTAGGTTTAGAGCAAAACTGAGCAGGAGGTATGGAGGTATTCCATGTATGTCCCCAGACCTCATGCATACATAACCTTCCCGGAGATCCATGCCTGAACCAGAGCGGTAGGGACCTGTGTTCCAGCCCGTGCTCCTGCATCAGCATATCATCTTCACCGAGTTCATGGTTTACATTAGAGAACATTCTGTGGGTTTGGACAGATGTATAACAATATGTATCCACCGTTGTAGAATCATACATACTAGTTTCATTGCCCTAAAAGAGTCTTCTGTGCTCCATCAGTTTATCTTACCCCAGTCCTTGCAGACTGATATTTTTACCGTCTTCCTACTTTTATCTTTTCTTTGTCTGGGATTTTCTTGGGTCTCCTTAATTAGTCTCAAGTAGGTCTTTAGCCTGAAACTCTTTCTTCATCTTATGTAGTTCTTTAAAGTTGTGACTTTTGTAGAGCTAGTTTGTTTAACAGCATTGTCCATGTGGCAGGCCCAAAGCATGCAACAGTAGTGTCATTGCCAGTGCACACCTGGGTCCCTCACCCCCGGGCTGCATTGAGGGGCAGTGGATGGAAGACTGCATGCCACTCTAATCTTTGTTCCTGTCTAAGCAGCAACAAGAATGTAGCTCCTGATAGTGTCAGGAAGGAATTGGATACCAGTATTTCCAAAGGTAACATCTTTCTGTTGCCCTAGATCTAGGCTGAGTTTAATTCTTTAGCTTGAGAAAAGCCACCGTATTGAGTGACCAGTCAGCTGAGCCATTCTGTGTGATTTTCTGGTATCTTGTCACACACAGTCTGTGACGGGGTAGACTCTTCAGATTGTTTTATATTTGCTATTGAATTTTATTCATGGAAGCAAAATACTTCTTTATTGTGTTATTAAATTGCATTAAGTGGCCCAGAGTTTACTGAAGCAGCTACCTAAAACCCATCCTTACTTCAGACCAGGAGCATTAATAAAACTGGTGTTAACAACAAAGGCATAGACGTTGGACAAGTCAAGTTCTCTGCAGGGGAATTCCAAGAACTGCCAGAAGTAAACAATGAGTCTGGAATGTTTTTTCTAACCTTAGCTCTTTATTTTTGGTTTGTAGCAGTCCACAAACAAGCGTGTACAGAGATGCAGAAACAAGCACATTCTCTGGTTATTGTTTTGCCTATTAGCATCTCAAATGAGACACACCTGGTCGATAGTCCAAGCTGAGGAAGAGATGATTTTTTTCAATGTGTGAAACAAAAAATGCTTGAAAAATGGCAAAATCTTACACAGTATATTGAACTGGAATAAATCTTAAGTATATGCATGTCATATTTATAATCAGGAGGCTTTTTCATTTGTTTAGGATCATATTTTTCTTCCAAAAGTAGTGAAGGGCTCAGAATAGTGGAAAAAGGTCATCACTTCACAGTTTTAATCCATCATGAAGACGAGGGAAAACACATTTTCCCCATGTTTTTCTGTGATAGCTGTTGTTTATTAGTACTAGTCACAATTGGGAGTGACATGGTAAGAGCAAAATACTAAAAGCTCCTGCAGAACGAGACGTAGGCACAGTTATAACGTTGGATGTTTAGTTAGGGTACACATTAAAAATCCGTTCACTCATGCCTAGATTATTAAAACATTTGAATCTAACAAACTTTTAAATCTATTGGTATCTTTTTGTCTTAAGAAGTCATTTTACTTTTAGGGATACAAAATTGGAATGTGAAATTACTTTTAGGGACACTAAATTTTACATTCAGTTAAATTATGGCGTTCTATATAATCTTAACAATTTTATTTACAATGGTGAAAAAACTGACTTTTAGGTTTTTTTCAACTTTGGGGTATTAGATAGTAAGTTACTATCTCCTTTGAAATTATATAGAAGAACCACGAAGTTGCATTAGTAGCTTTTAAAAGCCTGCTTTGGACCTGTCTTGAATTTTCTGGCCTGCACTACACTTCAGCAGTTGGCAGAGGGAAGTGTTACTGCTAGATTTCTCTTTTCTTACTTGGTTTTGGAAATGTAGTCTTTTGGAAAGTCCTCATCCAGCCACCATTGGTTTTAAAAGTTCTTGTAGAAGAAGGCTGATCACGTTGTCAGTTCCTTTTCTGTCTTATTTGAGTGACAGGAGATTCTTCGGGAAACTCCAAGAGGTCAGTGATGCTGCCTGAATGTCTCAGGGAGAGTGCAGACCCAGCGTGCAGAGCCCCTCCTGCATCCCATGGCCAGCCTGCCCTTCCGTTGGCACTGGTCTTGCTCATGATGGTTCCGTGTTCTTGTCTAAGAGCATGTGTCTTCATGTGGAGTGTTTATGATTTCACTTCCTTCCGCCACTGTGACATTTAAAAGGGAAAGTCAAGAACCCTGAGGTAGGGCTGGGTATTGAGATCTGGTGGCCAGGACATTGGCCTGCAGCAAGGGTCTCTACTTTGATATTCCATTTCAGCAAATGAATGCCTGCTGTGTTTTTAAATTGGGAGAGTATCTTAGTGACTCCAACTTGCATTGAATGTGAGTTCTCACTAAGTTGGCTACCTTCCAGATTCTTCCAGGTCGACTTCACAGGTGACAAGAAAGCAGCCCAAATCAGTAGACTGAATTATTTGTAGGGTTTGAACTTTATTTTCTCCTGTTCCTAAGTGACACTGGGCCTTTATCCCCTGCCATGGCTTTTCGCCTCTGGTGTTTTGCACACCTGAGGTACCTGTCTGACTTCATGGGGGGTATTCCTCTTATTTCTTTGGTGTTTGTGTCACGACAGCTCTTTGATTAGATTGTTCACTGGTTTCTCTAGGCAGAGAGTCGTGCCTGAGGCTTTGTGGTCTTTGGCCCATTGTGTGGTTTTTTTTTGTGAGAAATGTCTTTGTTACTCTCCTGCTCTCTCATTCCCAGGTGGTGCTGTGTCGGTGAGCTGGCCTCTGCTTTCCTGCTGCCCCTGTGCCGCTGCAGGCTTCTCACTGTGCCCTGTGACTGGCCTGCCCTTGAATGAGTCCTTCATTTTGACCACTGAAGCAAGACAAAATTCTTGCCTTATTATATCTAAGTTTTAGAATTACTTGAATTTGAGCATGACCTAGTTGTTTGAATTGAATTAGTCATTGTTTTTAATTTCACGGAAGTTGTTTGATATCTTGTTTGTTTGGCTTTATTAATATTGATGCCCCTTGGCTTTTATTTTCATGACGAGGACTCTGAACTCTCTGGGGCTTTGTTCCACGTAAAATAAAAATCCTGAATCATGCAGTGGAAGAAAGATGTAGTATGTGAAGTGCAGTTTAGAGGTGGGGAACGCCTTGGGAGTTTTCAGATTGTTTTAGTACAGCGTTAGGTGCTTCTCTAAATTCTACAATAGAATCTCAAGTCCTTCCCTGCCTACGGGTCTGGGCCTTCTGAAAGTTCATTGATTTGTTATTAATGGATGTGCTGCGTCTCAGCCTGTGCCTTTTACCCCCAGGAAACCTGGCCTATTTCGGTTCTTACTCATTTACTTCACTTTAACACCTAGATCACATTTGTAGGATGTACTCTGTAGGGCTGTTTCAGGGAAGGGAGAGAGGGAATGGTTTCAGAAACGGTTCTTCCTCTGGGTCTGGGGAGATGAGAGGCTTCCCCACTGCACAGGAAGGGGCACGCGGGGAAAGGCTGCTGTCAGAGTGGACCCTCCTGGCTACCTTCTCCTTCTACTCACTGTAGTTTTCTGTCTCCACAGGAGCCTGTATTGATTAAGGACCTGACCACCCATTTTTAAGGGTGCTCATTGTCTTAGGAAAGCAAATAGGGACAAGTGCTGACCTGGTCTTTGTGCTCTTGTCTCTTGCAGCAGTGGAGCCCCTGTGCCTGGGCTGGCGAGCTGCTCTGCAGTCCCATCTCCATGGCGAACACACTATGTAGGGGCAGCCTCGCCGAGCCTCAGCTGTCCCTAGTTCTGCTTTTCTTGTTGCAAAGCCTGTTGCTGGGTGGCCTCTGTTTACTTGCGAATGGGGCTGAAGACCTTCACATCAGCCAGGAGGGATTAGGCACCCCTGTTCGAGCCTGGGTCCTTCTTCCGTGCTGCTCTAGCATTGAGGAAGCTGCCTTGTGTCAGTCACCCAGAGTGACTGATAGGCATTGCAGACCATCACAGTGTACCTGTGACTGAGTTGTTACTGATCTTGCAGACCCAGAAGACTCTCTTGTGCAT